TGTACACTGTATTGTTTACTGTAAGGACCGATGTTCACTTCAATAAATGAAATCGTAAGTTTGCTAGTATTTTTGTCCACTTATTATATTATTATTTATACACTATTATTTAAGGTTATGTGTAAAGGAAACGCATTAATGCTTAAAGGTACATTTATTCAACATATGCTAATAATAGTTAGAAAAATTACGTAACCATCACGGTATCGACGGTTTCTTTATCGACGGCCGTCTACAGAACGTAACCCCCGTCGATAAAGAGGGAGTACTACAGTATCTCCTTTCTTATTGTACAGTATGTTTCTAGTGGTATAACGTGTAAACCTTGCTCGACTTTTATAACACCAAGTAAAGTATTATTTGTGAAAGATTATTGTTAATCATATTTTAGAGTTCCACGGAAAATAACTTACTTATTTGTGAGGTTTCGTGTGGTGGATAGACCACGTTGTTCATTGTAGTTTCTAGACTAAATATGTCTTTACTTTTGTGTTCATTATTTTGTCACTCGGTTGAGTCATTTATTTGATCAGATTTAATTTGTATTTGTTTATTTTTGTACATACGGTTATACTTATTGTTTGTTTATTTGTTAATATATTCTGTTATTAAACTACTGCATGTATTTCAATATACCCCGTAGTAATGAGGTGATAATTTGGTGGGATCTATTCCTGGACCTATAGTACAAAGTGTAATTTGTGAATTTGTGATATTGTTACACCCTTAAGAGGCCCAAGGGTCGTAACAATGTGTATTAGCCCACCATTAGCGCACCCGGGTATAGATCACTGACCCACATCAGGGCCTGGGGGGGGGGAAATATAATAAAAATTATAATACTAATTATAATAATGATTCATAGGTCTAGGTCGTGTTTCTCACTTTTGATCTTTTTTTTCATTCTTGTATTTATTATTATTATTATTTTATTATTACAGTACTCCTGTATTATTGTTATTTTTATTAATTTTATAATTATATATTATTATTATTATTGTTTTTATTATAATTATTATTAATGTTCTCTTTTATTTTGGTGTATTTTTATTAAAATTTTTATTTACTCTGAATAATTATTATTATTATAATTACAATTACAATTACAATTACAATTACAATTACAATTACATTTTCGCCCCCCAGGCCCTGATGTGGGTCAGTGATCTATGCCCGGGTGGGCTAATGGTGGGCTAATCCCTGTTTGAAAAAAAAAAAAAAAACGGTTTTCAGAGCTTTTCGGTTTTCGAATTTCGGATAAAGGGTTGTCAACCTGTGTGTGTGTATATATATATATATATATATATATATATATATATATATATATATATATATATATATATATATATATATATATATATATATATATATATATATATATATATATATATATATATATATATATATATATATATATATATATATATATATACACTCTTAAGGTGGACTATTATGGTACTGTCCAGCTCCTGGACCTTGTGTGGGGGGGAATAAGGGGCACGCTCACACCCTCCTACCTCCCACACACCCCTACCTACCACTTAAACACTGTGGGGGAATATATCACCTCGGCATGGTTTGGTATCCTACTGGCAGGCCTTGGTTATACTTTCACCCCGTAAAGTTGTGACTAGTGTTGATGTATCTTCCTACTCAGTACATTACTGTTACATCCACCATTTATCTCAGCCACCTCTCATCCCATCCACCATACAATCATCCACTCACACCAACCACCACGCTCCATACACTTTATCTCAACCACCACCCATGTACTCACCTTACACTCAATCATCCACCAGACTCATTTTGCATAACATATACAGTGTATACCCATTCCAATAACCTCAACCACCACTCATACTCTCCTCCTCATCCACACGCCCCAACCCACACGACCCTATCCACACGGCCCCATCCACACACTAAACCCTTACGTCTCCCACCCACACACCCCACCAACACACCTCGCCCCCACACCCCATCAACCTTCACTCATACAAGTATAATAAGACCAGTCGTGATTTTTGCCATAATTTCTAATACTCGGCAAATTGAGTCGTTTATACCAGTCGTGAATTCCATGAGAGAAATGGAAGAAATATACAAGGTGACGTGACATTTGTAACAACCCCTTGGCTACTCATGGTTGCAATTGCCTGCCTGTACGGCCACCGATAGTGTGCAACCTTCCTAGCTGGGTGGGGGGGGGCAGGGAGGAGAAATAGGTGTCAACAAATGAGGGGTGAAGTGGGTGGGGTGAGTCACTACAGAAGGAGGGGAAGGTGTTAACGGAAGTGGCCTGCAGAGTAGAGTCACAACGACACACTAAACAAAGAGCAATGCTTCTCTCTTATACAAGGTCACACCAGCTCCGGGCACTCCTGGGCACGTCAACAAAACACCTCCTCGCTTCGCACTCTTCACATTTGTCCTTTCTGCAGGTGCTGACATTAAACACGTGGTGTAGGTGTTGACGTTATGAAGGTGGTGTTGACGT